TGGGTCCAAACAGTGCCATTGGGGGAGGGGGTGAGAAGATATGGTATCAATGACACAGACACTGAGAGTCAGTTGAAAGGTAAACAGTAGACTCATTTATTCAGTATTGAGGAAAGTTTTATATATTCCCCTCCCAACACCCAGGCTGCGTCCTGATCAGGTGACATTATGTGCATTATCTCTGACAGTGCCTGTTGCTAGGCCCTCAGGTAGACTCCAGGTGGGCTCATAAGTATGTATGTTATGTGCATGCCTTGGTTACCAGTTTGAGCCTTATCTTCCTGCAAAGGGGTAAGTGATGTGGTAACAGTCTGAATCTGAGATGTCTCCAAAGAGAAAGCTACTTGTCAGAGAGGTGCCTAGGACCAGTGGATGGGCATCTCTTATCCACATGATAGAGTTCTCAAGAGGGCATAGAGAAGCTGCCTGAAAAATTAGCATGACTCAGGAGTGAGACATCAGGGTAAAAACCTGAATGGTCAGAGAAATGCAGAGAAGTGACCAGTGATCTCCTCTTGTTCTTGTTCATCTATCCCAAAAGGGCCCAGACCCTCTCTCAGTCCCACCCTACTTCCTGTGTCTATCTGTTAATTTTGGACAGCCAGTAGCTAGTTCCACCCTCTGATTCAAAACAATCTTTATTGACGTTCTTGGGAGCATTAGAATGCAATCAAAATATCACACATTTCCTCCTTTTTGTCTAAATAAAAGGAAAGGTTTTTAACTCTGACACAGAAAAATCTGGATTGTGGTAAGCAACTAAGCTGACAAATACCATTCAAAGGTCAGCTTTGCACTACAAACTACTCAGGAAAATTTCAAGGCAGCTTGCTGAGATGGTTCCGCCTCATACACAATTCCAGCCAGGACTGCAGACAAGCCCTAAACTTACATTACACAGAGACTGGCAACAAATGATGTAGCTTGCTGTCCCAAGACTTGACCTTCACCTTGGTATTTTCAGAGTCCCCTAGAGATGCCATTGCCCCCCAGACAGCAGAAGGTAATCCAGAGAACATGCTGCCTACATTCCCAAGAGGTGGGGTGGGCAGTTTTTGGACATTCAATGGATTATGGATATTTGTCATCATTTAGGGGGTTGGTTACAAGTTGTCATTGGTAATGGTCAGGACAAAAGCTGAACAGAAGAGATAAGATTCAAGGATTTCGTCCTGAAAAGAAAAAGGGGGGATATAGAAATGATAAGATAAATAGATTATTGGATCTACTTTTAAACTAAAAAAAAAACAACTCCTAGTCTTAAATATTTTACACTGGTATGGATTTTTCTATATTGATACAAATTTAAGGTTATTTCTTTTTTGTTAGAAATCTTCTACTCTTGTTTAAGGTATTGTACCTATGAGGCTCATTTAAGAAGCTAATGTAACTTTCTAGTCCTTGAATGTTATTGTTACAAACTAGGGTTCATTCTGCATTCAAGAAATGCAGGTGAGTAGTTAGTCACCTATAATATGCAAACTTGTAGTCATGTTAGGTATGTTTTCAAGGTCAAACAGAGACATATTTTAGATATATAGATGGTCTTCAAACACTTTGAAGACCTGTAGAATGTGGCATTTAAAATGTTTTGTTATAGGGCTTTTCATGACAATGAGACACATCTACTGCTGGTGGCAATAATCTACTTCAGAAAAGGATGATGGGCATCAAAGGTTCTCCATATGGAGTTTACTTTCTTTGTGGCAAAAGCTAGCCATTTGAGCAAGAAACTGCCCTTGCCTCGACTGCTGGCAGTGTGTCCAAACTGGACAAACAGGACACAAAGAAAAGTGACTACAGAACCTTGCCAAGACTGGACAGGACAGTCCTTCAAATATTTGCTGCTTCTCAGAAAAGTCTGTCAGATATTCTATGCCTGTAGGCTGAAGATGGATGCCTCAGTGTTGCAGAGGAATCTTGGGTGACTGTCCAGGAAGCCAGATGTCTATCATTTCTATAGGTTTGGAAGTGCTTTTACAATGTACTTCCAGTTGGCTTAGGTAATATTATACTCTTCTGGGGTCTTTGATGGAGTTGAAGACTAGGTAGTTATAATTGCAGTTTTTCTTAATTATGATAGGAGGTAAATTAGGTGCAGAACTTTAGACTCATCAAGATAGAATAAATAATGGAGTATTTCCCTCAAATATGCCAAATACAAATGGACTGGACATTGTAAATGTAATTCTTACCTAATAATTGTTCTTATTGTATATTGTTTTACTAAGTTATAATTGAAACCTTTCTTTTTTATTTAGACAAAAGGGGGAAATGTTGTAGAATAACCTTTTTGTACACTGTGAAGAAGTGTTACTCTGATTGGTTTAATAAGAAGCCAAATGTTCAATAGCTAGGCAGGATTTTCTGGGCAGAGAGAATGCTGGGAAGAAAAAGGCCAGAGTTGCAAGGAGATGCCAAGGAAGCACAGAAAGCAGCATAGGCCTTACAAAGTAAAGGTAACTAAGCCACGTAAAAGAAGTGAATTAAAAAGAAATGGGTTAATTTAAGTTATAGAGCTAGTTAGAAATAAGACTAAGCTATCAGCCAAGCTCTCCTAATTAATAAGAAGTCTCCATGTGGTTATTTGGGAACTGGCAGGTGGAACAGAAAAATCCACCTACACATCTTCATCCAAGAGCATCTTATTATAGTCACTCAGATCTGCTCTAATCCCAAAAACTTCAAAATGCAAAGCCTCCATGGGATCCAGAATTTCAAAGAAGAAAATAGATGCAGCGTGCCATGTGTCAGAAGATGTTTGTTAACCAGTGAGATGGTTAATGTTTAAGTTTAAATCATTATGTTTTAGAGATCTATAAAGCAAGAAAAATGCCTCTAACCTGTAAGGCTCACTTGCCCAAGGACAGATAATTTCCTGGAATGTTGGGGACCATTGCTCATGTAAGGTAACAGTGTGTTTTTACTTCTGTAAACAAGCTTGGTTGCCCCAAGGTGCATAGGATATGTGCTTGATCACAGGGAGGCAGGAGGTACATCAGGATGTGTAATTGCCCCTGATTGCAGGAAGGAAGGAAGCAAGTATTCTTGTGAATTTTGCCTTTATAATAACCTGACTAATGTAATTCTGAGACATACTCTGGGAATCCCGAGTCTCAGGTACAGACCTAGCCAGTGTCCATAGTCCTGGCCAGTATTTAATCAAGCCTCTCTTCTTCATGAAAATTTATTCATGATCAGACTGGTGAAACTCTGAATGACCCCAGGCTTATAACACCAGATATCCAATGTGGTATTCCGTAAGAAAAGTAGACCACCATGTTTACTCAGTGCCTCTCTGGAGTGTCACAAAAGTCATTTTCCTAGTTTTTAGCAGTCCCACATCCAGCAGGGGTGCAGTGGCCAAAGACAACCACATACAACAATGGTGACTTGCCAAAGAAGCAAAGCCTCCAGGTTGATTTTACTTTAAAATAGTAAGTTGCTTCAGGACGTTCAAAGTATGTTTGCTCCGGTCTTATTTCCTCCAACAAGAAAATTGAATTTTGTGAGGCACTGGTGTAGATTAGACAATCTTAAATAAGTGAAATGTCAGGCTTAAGAATAAATTATTCTAAGAAAGAAAACAAAGCATTTAACCTCCCCTTCAAAGAACAACTTTAATTAGACTCATTTAAATATCTTATCTTAATTAAAATGATCTCGCTTGCCTTCAGTGGTTAACTGCATATTCAATTGTAATATACGACTTGAGGAAATTTAAATTCTTACCTGTTATGTTAACAAAATACTCAAGCTAATCCTCCAAAATCCTTTGGTGGCACATTAGTTCCTTCAGTCCAACAAAAAATGGTGAGTGAATTTTATTAGGACCAGTAAGACACAAAACTAATGAGTTTGGAAAAGTTAATCTCTCCTGTAGGGGTGCTCCAGAACTTTCCAGTTACAGATGACTCCTCTCTGCACTCACCTGGTCTGGGTAGCAAACACTACTTTTAGAAACCCTTGAGCTTCCAATATTAACAGCACACGGATTTTAAACTGCCCTAGATAAATGGGTAAGTTTAATGGCCTCTTTTCTAGTAGGCAATATCTTCTTTGTGTTAAGATTCTTCTCCTTCTCCTTTTTCTTCTTCCTCCTCCTCACCTCCTCCTCTTCTTCCTCTTCTCTCTCCCTTTCTTTCTTTGACAGACTCTCACTATGTAGTCAAGGCTACAAACTCTAACTCAGTGGTTCTCAACCTCCCTAAAGCTGCGACTTTTTAACACAGATCCTCATGTTGTGGTGACCGTCAACCATAGAATTATTTTCATTGCTACATTACAACTGAAATTTTGCTACTGTTATGGTTCATAATGTAAACTTCTGATATACAGGATATCTGATATCTGACCCCTGTGAAAGGGTCATCTGACCTCTCCAAAGGGGGCTTGACACAGGTTGAGAACCCCTGCTCCCAAGTTTAGAGGATTATAGTCCGGAACCATCATACCTGGCTTTCAAGTTTCTGTTTCATACTTTATTTATTTACTAAGTTTTTAGTTAGCATACTGCTATGTCCTGGGACAAGGCTCACACAGTACCTGTGGCTTCTTCAAGCACTTTTCACCCTGCTTCCCATGCTAAACCTCCCCTTCCCAGGGGCTGGGCTTCCCTTCCCTTCCCCCAGCTTCTCTTTCTTACTTAAACCTCCTCATTTTGGCATGCAATGTCTTGGTCCTTGGCTGCTCTCTTGGTCTGCTTGCCCTCTCTCTCCTCTCATCCTCTTTCTCTTCATCTCTCTCTTTCTCCCCACTCTGTCTCCTCTCACGGCCAGGTTCAGCCCGGACCCTCTCAGACAGCTCTGGTTGTGTTCCCTCTCTCATACCTACAATAAAAATCTCCTCAGCCATACCTTGGAGCAGCCATGTCCTCATTTGCATTCACATACAAAATAGTGGGCTTCGCAAGGACCTTCTAGTATGTGTTTATTATTGTACTTTGCTCATCCATACCCACCCCGATTCCCCTCCTCTTGTGATTGCCCACAAACAGTTACCTTTTTCATGTGTCTCAATGTCTTTACATGAGTGTCTCCCTCCAAATAAAAGGCAAGACAGAAACCCCAGCACGTGAGCATTTAAGCAATGCCACTACCACCCAAGAGGCCCTGGGGCTCTGCAGTGGCTATTTTCCTTGTTTTTCCGGAAGTACTTCTCATTCCTATTCAAGGAAGGCCGTTTACTGGAATTACTCATTCCAGCTTTCCGCCTGATGCAGCAGCCTGGCTTCACAGACCAGGCTCTTCCTGGATTTGTGGGTATTTAATTGAATCCCAGGGCCTCAGGTACAACATCGTGGGAAATCATAGTTCTTCTCATCCAGTCTAAATGTGAGATTTAAAAGGGGTGCAAGGGGGAGAGCCTATTTGTTTTGTAGTCATGGAACATTCCGGCCGGAAGACAATCCTAGCCAGTATCTAATGCTAACATTTGAATTAAAATACACCGACTCCGAGGACAATACAGGGAAGTGATACTCAAGGTTACATGTGGGAAAACAGTAGCTGATTCCACTTCCCCTCACTTCCTCTTCTTGTAGACGACACTACACTGCCCAACCTGGGTTTGGAAAACAGCCGTCGCCCATCCTAATTTAGCACTTAGCGCTGTTCTGCTGCCCTCTGGCGACAAGGATCATGCATTACAGCTGCAGGTTTGGGCCCTGATGGACTCTTCCCATGGATTCACACTATCTACAAATAAGGACATCTGTAACATGCTAGCGGTTCTCTAGACATCGCAGTTTCCGCTGTAAAATACGTGGACAATATTCTTGTCCTAGCAGAGGTTATTTATTAGTAAGAAGAGACACTGTAGTAAACATGGGATATAATATTTGAGTGATAGCGAGATAACCAAGAGAGAGAGAACAGATGTATGTAAACGGAATTACAACTTTAAGTATTTGGGTCATAAACGGGGGTCGCTGAGAATACCGCATGTTGAGACGATGGCTTCAAGACGTGAGAGGATAAGTCACACTGGTGTCCAGGAAAAAATGGCCTCGCGAGGATACGTGAGGATGACAGAAATCACATTGGAGCGCAGCAGCGAGTCAGTAAGTCAATGTCTTTCTGCTTCTCGTATATGCTCATAGATCTATTCACCACATCTCTTTCTCACACACACATTGTTCTTAGTCAGGGGCATGAAACAGTCCAAAAGAGAAATAGGAAATATGGTACAATCAAAGCTGAGAATTCAGCCGAGCTTGTTGGAATTAACTACATTGGAAGTCCAAAGTATAGTAAGATTGATTGAAATGTTTTCCATTTAAATCGGTTAATTCTGAACAGGTTGAATAGAGAGTTTGTAAGCAGAATGAGTACATAGTTATAAATGGTGTCAAGGCACCCTGTTAACTTGGTCACAGGTTGGGTGGAAGTTTGATTTGTGCATGCACATGGAGGCTGGAAAGGGACACTGGATTTCCTGGTGGAACTGGTTATGAGCTGCCTGATGTGGCTGCTGGGAACTGAACTGGAATCCACTGCCAGAACAGCAGTCGTTCTTGACTGCTCAGCCAATCTCTCTAGCCAATCTTTACCTTAATGTTTGAAATGGTGACTTCACTAGGAGTGAGTTCCTGAGTACACTAACCATGACATGTCCTGAAGATAGCATTTTAGGGAACACCCTCCCATCCTCTGGCTTTGATATTCTTTCTGCCCCGTATTCCACAATGATAGTGGTGGTGGTGGTGGTGTGTGTTTGTGTGTGATGTAGATGTCCCATTTAGGGCTGACCACTCAATAGTCACTTACTAATACTCTGACTAGTTGTGTCTCCACATTCATTGAAGCTAACTACAAAAAGAAACTTCTCTGACCAAAGTCAAAGAACAGCACAGATCTACGTGTATACACATAAATCAGCAATAGTAGTTCCTCTGTTCCTATCTATAAGAACTATGTTCTTCCCAGCCATGGCCTTTTGACCAGGTTTAAAGGACCAGACATGACTTCCCTCCTCTGAAGAAGTCCTCAGATATAATCAGATTTGGATTATTCCCCTAACTGCCATGCTACTATTGCAACTGTGGGCACATTTTCTCTGGCAACATTACCATATGCAGGATCCGGTGCTGGGTATGGTCATTGGCATCTTTTCTATTCCAGCAACCTGTATAGCACCTTCAGGCCCATTCAAGACTAATTTATCTGTGTCCTAACACAAAGGTGTATAGTATCGTCAGAAATAGGGTCTTACTTAGAGCAGCTGAGATCACTAATAGTAACCTCTATTGTTCTAGAGGCTGTCAGAAGACAACTGTTCTGATTGGAGGAAGATGAAATCTTAATCTGCATTTCTCTGATGGCTAAGGATATTGAACAACTTCTAAAGTGCTTGCTAGTCAAGTGCTCTCTCTCTCTCTCTCTCTCTCTCTCTGGAGAACTTTCTGTTTAGTTCCATAGTACATGTTTAAATTAGGTTGTTCATTTTTGTTGGTGTTTAGCTTTTTTTTTTTAGTTCTTTGCATATTCTAGATGCCAATCTTCTGCAGATGTATAGCTGACAAAGATTTTCTCGCATTCTTTGCAAAGGCTGCCTTTTCACTAATTGACAGTTCCTTTTGCTGTACAGGAGCTTTTTGATTCCATAAGGTCCCCTATGTGGATTGTTGCTCTCATTTCCTGTATTACCTGAGTTCTGTTAAGCAAGTTCTTACTTAGGTCTACAAGGTAAAACATGCTTTCTCCTATTTCCTTTAGCAATTTTAGAGTATTAGGGTATCAAGTCTTATAGTGAGGTTCTTGATCTATTTGGAATTGAGTTTTGTGTAGGGTCAGAAATAGAGATCTAGTTTCATTTTTCTCAATGTCAAAGTCCAGTTTTTCCAGCACCATTTGTTGGTGAGGAGGTAGGTCTTTTCTTCAATGTATGTTTTTGATATTTTTTGTAAAAAAACAGGTAGCTGTGGCTGAATAGCCTTATATCAGGGTCTTCTATTTTATTCTGTCTATCCATGTGTGTGTGCTTGTTACATACCATTCCCTTATTATTGATGAGGTTTTTAAGTATAATTTGAAATCGGATATGATTATACTTCCCACTTTTATGGGAAGTATCTATAAGTCTTTCAATGCAGTAATGAAAGGTTTTTAAGTGGAGTATTCTGGGTCTCTCATTATAGTGGTTTGAATGAGAATGGCCCCTATGGCCTCATATGTTTGAATAACTTGTCTCCAGTTAGTAGAACTCTTTGAGGAGGATTAGGAGTTGTGGCCTTGTTGAAGGAGGTGTGTCACTGGGGGCAGACTTTGTGCTCTCTCTGCCTCCTCATTGGATTGAGATGAGCTCTCAGCTGTTCCTATCTCTATTCCTTTGTTCCTCCATCATGGACTCTAGCCTTCTAAAGTGGTAAGCCCAATTAAATGCATTCTCTTGCAGATTGCATTTTTCATGGCGTTCTATCACAGCAACTTAAAAATAACTAAGACACTTATGGGTAACATCATATCATCTGCACATAGGGATCCTGTCTCCTAGTTTTATTTGTACACCTGTTCTTCTTTCTGTTGACCTATTGCCTCAGCTAAGACTTCAAGCACCAAATTAAGAAGTGGAAAGAGTGAATGTAGATGTAACCAACCATCTTATTAAATAAGAAACACAGAACCAATGCAAAGAAGAAAGCCAAGAGGTCAGAGATAAAAGCTAAAACCTTACCCTTCCTCCTGGGGTGGTCCTACCTCTCCGAAAGAGAGTTACTTCCTGTGTTAAAGTCTTTATAAAGACTTTCAGTTCTGCCTTCTCATTGGTTGTAAACCCAACCACATGACCGCCTCGTCACTGCCTGTCTGTACAGACCTCCAGGTCTTCTGTGGTTGGTATTGAGATTAAAGGCGTGTGTCTCCAATACTGGCTGTATCCTTGAGCACACAGAGATCTACCTAGCTCTGCCTACCAAGTGATGGGATTAAAGGTGTGCACCACCACCGCCCAGCTTTCCTATGGCTTGCTAATAGCTCTGACCCCCGGACAACTTTATTTATTAACATACAAATAACATTTTAGTACAAAAATAAAATATCACCATAAGTGAACACCCTTTTCTTGTTCCTGATCTGGAGGGGAATGCTTTGAGTTTTTTTTTTTCACTTAGCATGATGTTGGCTATAGATTTGTTACATATGTATGTATTATGTATACACACACATATACATAAAATATCATCTACTCTCAAATTTGTCTATATTTTTGTCAAATATTTCCTGCAACTTGACTATTATGCATTAGTTACTTTTCTTTTGCTGTGACAAAATACCATGACCAAGGTAACATATGAAAAGAAGTCATTTCATTTGAGGCTTGCTTATAATTCAGAGTTAGAATCTATGATTACCATGGCAGGGAGCATGGCAGCAGTCAGGCAAGCATGGCTCTGGAGTAGTAGCAGGAAGCTTACCTGTTGAGGCAATAACCCAAATACAGAGAGAGGGAGAGGAGAGGAGAGAAGAAAAGGAGAGAGAGAGAGAGAGAGAGAGAGAGAGAGAGAGAGAGAGAGAGAGAGAGAGAGAACTAAATAACTAACTAGGAATAATATGGGCCTTTGAAACCTCAAAGCCCACCCTAAGTGACACACCTTCTCCAACAAGGCCACACCTTCTAATCCTTATCAAACAGTTCTACCTACTGGGAATCAACAATTGAAACATGTGAGCCTATGCAGGCCATACTCATTCAAACCACCACATTATATATCTATAGCTGTATCTATCTATATCTATCTCTCTATATCTCTTAGTTTTAGAGTTCTTAGAGGTTTTAGAATATATAAATTTATTTCTGAACAAATTTAGAACATTTTTCTCATTATTTCTTTTTCTGTTACTTGCTGTCTCTGAGTCTTCAGTTATGCTCAGTGAGGGTATTTAATATTGTTATATAAATTATGTGGTAATTTTCCCTCTCTGAGACAGGGTCTCACTGTTTTTTGTGAGAGTCTGGCCTGAAATTCACTGTATAGCCCAGATTAGTCTCAAGCCTATGATTTTCCTATTTTAGGGAGGAAAGACATGCACCACCACCCCACTCTTCCATCAGCTTACATTTGTTTGTTTGTTTATTTATTTTTGTGCAAGTATTACTCTCTTTTTTTTTTCATTTTGGCTATTTGATTTCCTACTTATT